AAAGGGGACAGCAGATATGGGTCACAGTTCTTCAGCAAAGTCTCTCTTAGATAGGAAGTAGTGTTCCCTTTGGTGCTGTATAAAGAAGCTACTTAACCAGGAGAGTAATAAGAGTATGGCTGCAATGCACACAATAGTCTTCATCCCAAAATTCACCCATCTGAATGCAGCCTTGCAAAATTAACCACACTTGTTCAAATGTGCATGAAGCTGGCTTGATGACAGACTCACAGATCTTGCTCCTCCCTCCCCCTTTATCCCACGTAGCCCGTTAGGATTCCTTCACCGTGCTCCACAAGAGAATGGAAGAGTGAGAAGCAAAGAGTGCACTCAAGCACCAGCCACAGTTAACTTTGCTGCTTAAAAAGCACCTTCTGAACATTGTTTACATACATTGACTTCCCATCCTTTTGTCTGCTTTCAAAGATACCCAGGAACTTGGCAAGAAAAGTTAAGCGTGGACTGCCCGGTCACAGGACAAAAGGAAGAAGGTGGTAGCTACTGGAGAATTGGGGGACAGCATCACAAGGGATGGCTGTGCTCCCTGACATCTAGACATTCCATCTAGGTCATCTCTCGAATACCACCTTTTCTCCACAACTTTGAGATCCATATTTATTTTTTTAAAGAAGTACCTGCCTTCTAAGCCCTTAAAAGAGTAGGTTTCCAGGTGCACAAGAGGGCCGTATATAATGATCCCTTGTAGTCGAAATGTGATAGCCCATCTAGTTGCTACATTTGCATCCATCGTTTCTTAAACCCAAGGCCAACTGCTTTACTGCATTCACATGTGAAATTTGTCTTCGTAAGATGATGTCAAGTTTCAGGCCAGCTCCTTCAAGTCGAACACTGAACATTCTTTGCCCCACACACACATATCAAACATTTAAGAACTCATTTTGTTAAAGCAGTTAGTCTCTTTTATAAAAGTTACAGTGGGGTGGGGGAGAACCCTTTGTACATAGTCTCTGTATTTTTAATCCACCAGTATCGGGATATAAGGGTCATGCGATGCTTGCTTGAAGATTTACTATGTTATTTTTCTATGTATATTCTGTACGGATATATCGCTGCGAAAAGAAGAGAAAAGATTAAATGTATACTGTCTGTATCAATGTTTTCTGCACTAATTGGTGCCTTGGGAGTTTTAAACAGTTACTATCTTGCCTTGTAGTGGATCTTTTATTCTTCCCGCTGTCATCATATAAAAAATGTAATCAGGATATATCTATGAACAGGAAACACTGATACTACGTAACCTCGGCTACCTTTATTTTCCTTATCTGCGATCAAATGTCCCCTTGCCTAAATTCTGAGTTTTTGAATTGTGAGAAACATTGCTGCCTCCCCAACCAGAGAAAGGGTGAGGCACCTGGGTGGGGGTTACCAAGTGCCAGGGAGAGAGAGAGAGAACATCTTAACCAGACAATAATGTAATCTCTACCATTTTGGCCAAGTGGAATAATGAGGAGAGCCAGTGTAGTGGTTAAAATGTCTGACTATGATCTGGGAGATTCCACGTTCAGATCCCCATCTTGTCATACCTGAGTGAAGTTGGGACACCCACACACCCTCAGCCCAACCTACTTAACAGTGTTGTTGTGACGATAAAATGGAAAAGAGGAGAAGGATGTAAGTTGCTTTGGGTCCCCCCTGGAGGGGAGGGGGGAGATAAATGAAGTACATAAAGTAAACAACAGGAAGGGAGAATAGAAACTGAATGAGTCACGTTTGTCAGTGGGCAACCAAGTTGATGAAGAAGGAGGAGGAAGAAGAGGAGGAGGAAGAGGAGATTGGATTTATACCCCGCCCTCCCCGCTCAAAGATGTCTCAGAGCAGCTTACAAACTCCTTTCCCTTCCCCTCCCCACAACAGACACCCTTTTTCAAGAACAGCTGTGCCAGAATTATGGCTTGCCCAAGGTCATCCAGCCAGGTGCAAGTGGAGGAGTGGGGAATCAAACCCAGTTCTCCCAGATTAGAGTCCGCGCACTTAACCACTTCACCAAACTGGCTGGAGCATCTTTCCTATGAGGAAAGGCTGAAGAATCTGGGACTTTTCAGTCGGGGGGGGGGAGAAACACCTAAGGGAGAACATGAGAGAGGTTTATAAAATTATGCATACAGAGATTTTCCTCCCTCCCCTGTAATACTACAACCCAGTAGTAGGTTCCACGACATCCACTGACAGTCACTTCCAAATAAGTATGTACTGGGCTATAACGTTCATTTCTGTGAAAAATTAACCAGTAACATATGAATGTTCTGTCAACAAACCAACCTGTAATGGTTTACACACACTGAACTGAATTAATATCAGGGAAGACGACTTCACATCCACCCTATGCACAGAACTTATTCTAGCATGCAGAAATTTGACTACAAGAGTATATGTATTTTACTTATCTAGGAGTTTACAGAAGTGTTTTTAAAAATAAAAAAAATAAAAAACCACATGACAGTGAACATCTTTAAGTGTTACCTCTGGCAAGTCACTGAACACTGAGCAGAAGCATCTTGGGTTAAACCAGTTCACTGATTTGCTGTTCACAAAGATGTCACATTTTACTTGCTCACGCAAGGGGGGGAAAAGGGACAGGCTGTGCTGACACCTTGTGGCTCCTGGTGAAGCCAAAACTATTTTGTGATTCTCCCTGCATGTAACTGCTTGTGTAGTCTGCATTACATTTTTAGAATAGGTAGCTGGTCATAGAGACGACTGTCAGAAACCTAGAGACGTTGGGGGACCGCTGCTGTTTTTTAAGTGGTGACTTTAAACACTTATAAATGGCTTTGAACTGAACAGGTTTTACATTAGTCATTAAGACCAAATCAGTTGATCCATCCAGTCAATCCACCCATCGTTATAACAGCAGTTAAGGGTGTGCAAAAAAAAAAAAATTCAGCCCATTCGGATTTGGCCGAATCAGGCAGAATCCATTTCGGCTGGCAGTAAGACTCCCGCGTGTCAATTTCGTCAGTACCAGCAGATTAGGGAGACTTTCAGCCAGCCGAATGTCAATTTCAGCCCCATTATATCCTATGGGCCTTTGAAGTCAATGGCGAAAACATAGGGTATATTCTGGGGGCTTGAGGGAGAGACTCCATACTTGCAGGGTAGTTGCTGGGGCCTCTCCCCAAGATATCCACCAAGTTTGAAGAACATTGAATCAGGGGGTCCAATTCTATGGGCCCCCAAACAGGTTGCCCCCATACCCTCCATTGTTCTCTATGGTGGGGGAAAAAGTTACTGAATCTGAATCGGCCTGCAGCAGCCCGAAAGGGGTCCGAATGGGCCATTTTCAGGGGTGCATTCGGTTCAGACAAACCGAATGCACATCCCTAAACGGGTCCTGGCTTGTGGATGTGCTGAGATCCGAAATGCAGGAAGGAAGTCAGGAAATTTGCAAAGGTCTCTACCTCCAACCCTTGCAGGCCAGCAGAGGGGGCGTTGAGACAGGCCAACACAAGAAGCTGCAATTTGCACCCGCCCTCTCCTGACAATCACCTTAGGCAAACCCTTCCTTCTGTTCCCTAGCAATAGGGAAAGGGGGGGGATGCAGGAAGGGCAGCACTCAGAGAAAGCAGCTGAAATACATATTGTCTCTGACCTCAGATTCCCCACGCAAGCGCACACACTTGGAGGAGGGTCATTGGCAGATACGGAAAATGCAGTGGGAAGAGGAGGGGCTAAGGGCTCTGGTCCTTTTGCCCCCTTCAGCTCCACAAAATAAACTGATCAGTGAGGGAAGGAAGGAAGAGGAGACAAAGGAATTTATGGGGGTGGGGAGTCCTCTGCCCCTTTCTCTTTTTCCCACCCACTCCTACTTACTTTGCACCTCTTGATACAGTTTCCCACAAAGTTGCAAAGAGGATGTGAGAAAAGTTTGCACGCTTTAAAATGGAGAAACACTAACTGAGGGCTGGATCCAGACTACATTTTCCACCAGTGGAATGGAACCATCCTACCTCCATGGCTCTCGTCTAGTCGTTTCTGTACTCTAAAATGAACTACACAACAAATATTATTGTTGGACGGTGTCCCCACTTTATAGGTCATCTCAATCAAGGATTCAGAGATGCATTGCTAAAGACATTTTAAACTGCCACCATTTTGCTCATTAAATCAAGGGTTCTGCTGCTGCCGGTTTTCAACTTAAGAAACGAAGGGAATCTCTAGCCAGCGTGACTGTTGCAGAAGGACACAGAGCAGCACAGGAAGCAAGAAATTCAAAAGGGCTTATTTGGAGCTTCTGATGGTCCAGCCCCTCCCCCCTACACAGATTTACAGATTTCTACCGCAGAACACCTTCTGCACTTTCCTTCTACTGTTAGTCATTGTTCCCTTCCTACCTCATCCACAAAAACACAAACCTATCATGTGCACTGTGCACATACATGGAATGAACATATAGAACTGGGCGTAGGGGTGGGAGTTTAGTGTAGAAATCTAACAGGAAGGATCCAAGTATAAAGTTCCTGCGTATGCCATTGTAAAAACAAGAGCCAATTAAAACAGAAACAGGCAAGTACAGTAAGTCATAATACAAAAGCCTCGTTGCCAGGGACACAACAAAAGCCCCATTGTTCCTCTCAGTCAATGAAGTGTCCCAGCCTTCGCACTGCAGAATTCACGGAATAATGGTAGTATTCCCTCAGAGTGGTTTCATTTCCATTTTTCCCCCAACACTGGCAAATACAGCTGTGTGGAAACACAATTGGTCTAATTCTGTGCCTGGTAACGATCTTCTAAAGGAAACAAATGCACGTATGGGTGAGACGCAAACAGCTTTTCTGCTAGTTAAGAAGGAGGGGGCCCCTTGGTCCACCCAAAAGGACCGTTCTGGGGATCACACCTTCATAGGCTAAAGCCACGTCTGATGGGGGCTGTAGTCAGAAGCAGAATTGGGTGAGATTAAATGAAAAGGCTGACTGGGTGCATCCAAAAAGAAAATCAAAAGTACTGTCAGGCAATTTTCCCTCTAAGCTGTGGAGTCGTGTGAGCAAAAATTCTACTTTGTGGGCTACTGGCATTAAAGTTGTGAGCGAGTGACTTGGCTACTGCATAAATTAGTTGGCTCTGGAGCCATCCTTCCTGAGCGGAGACAAAAATGTGTGAGCCGGAGGCTAAAAAACTGTGAGCTAGCTCACACTAACTCAGCTAAGAGGGAACACTGCTGTCAGGTCATGAAGTTATCTGAGCCACAGCCAGTGTTCCCTCTAAGCTGAGTTGGTGTGTTAGCTCACAGTTTTTTAGCTTCCAGCTCACACATTTTTGTCTTAGCTCAGGAAGGAGGGCTCCAGAGCAAACTAATTTATGCAGCAGCCAAATTGCTCGCTCACAACTTTAATGCCGGTAGCTCACAGAGTAGAATTTTTGCTCACAAGACTCAACAGCTTAGAGGGAACATTGGCCACAGCTAGACCTCCCTGTCTGAACAAAAGCCAACTTTAAATACTGAAAGTACCAGTGCTGGACTTAAGCATGTTCCTTTTTCACATACAGCTGACACAATCCCACAATACACATGCATTATAGTATCCCAGCTGCTACACTTACAAAGGCACTCCTAAGCAGTTGTTGTTCAGTCGCACAGTCGAGTCCGACTCTTCGCGACCCCATGGACCAGATCACGCCAGGCCTTCTGCTCTTCTGCCATCCTCTGAAGTTGGCTCAACTTCATGTTCGTTGCATCTACGACACTGTCTAACCATCTCATCCTTTGCCGTCCCTAAGCAGAGTCACACCCATTGAAGACCACTGACTTCAGTGAGCTGTAACTGTAACTCTGTTTAGGACTACACTGTTAATGGCAGGCCTGTCATTAATGCACTCTATCCTACAATTGGATCCTATCATAAACATAGATGACCTCTAACTAACTGGCAACTTATTAGTCGTATTGGGAGCCAGTCATTGCCATAAGATGAAAAGATCACCATCAGTGTTCCCTCTAAGCTGAGTTAGTGTGAGCTAGCTCACAGTTTTTTAGCCTCTGGCTCACACATTTTTGCCTTCGCTCAGGAAGGAGGGCTCCAGAGCAAACTAATTAATGCAGTAGCCAAAACGGTCACTCACGACTTTAATGCCAGGAGCTCACAAAGTAGAATTTTTGCTCACAAGACTCCACAGCTTAGAGGGAACATTGATCACCATATATCTGTACCCAATCAGAAATACAGGGAAACAGGAAAGATAAAATTCTTACTACATAAGACGCTGTTAACAATTGTTGGCTTAGCACAGGGTGCTGTGTCAACTGCCGTACGTTATCACTTCAGAAAACGCATTGTATCCGGCCTGCATGCACAAAAGGCGCATGGGATTTTCCCAAGTTCCTCTCCATTCCTGTAGCTCCCTCCAACGCCCAGAAAGATCATTCCTAAAGTTGCAGGACCTGTGTAGGGGAACAGCTGCTTGGCTCAGGAGGCAGCAGTAAGAGGGTGAAAGCGCCCCTCCTCTCTTCTGGCAATGAAAATACACTTGTGGGAGGCACAGGGGAGGGCTTCCATCCCCTTGTTCTCACTGCAGCCTCCCTGTGCTGCACAGCTATTCCTTTGCATAGGTCTCGTGTCTCCAGAAATGACTCTTCCAGATATCAAAGGGACTGCAGTAATAGACAAGAACACAGGAGAAGTCAGCATTCGTTTCACAAATGGTGGATACAGGCTGCTATCGCCTGTACTGTGTATCACTCACTGCTGTGACATCCTCCAGACCACTTCTATGCACCCTGTCTCCCTTTCCTGTTAGAACACGGTTCTCTCCAAATTCCGATTAAACTTAAAAATAATAAAACCCGAACAACCACTTTCAGGATATATGGCTTTAAAAACATGCTCTGCTTTGTTTTACTTCCGTCTCAGATCTCTGATTGGCTCCAGGTTTCTACAAGTCAAACCCTATTGCGTCATCTGTCGGATGTCCTATCCAATGTTCCCTCTAAGCTGTGGAGTCTTGTGAGCAAAAATTCTACCTTGTGAGCTACTGGCATTAAAGCTGTGAGCGAGCAATTTGGCTACTGCATAAATTAGTCTGCTCTGAAGCCAACCTTCCTGAGCTGAGGCAACTATGTGTGAGCCGGAGGCTAAAAAACCTGTGAGCTGGCTCACACTAACTCAGCTTAGAGGGAACACTGGTCCTATCCTGTTGATTGTACTGACTTATTCTGTGTAATCTGCCTTGAGTCCTGGTGAGAAAGGCAGACTATAAATAATTAAAATAATGAAATAGAAATGGCATGACAAGAGTGTGTAAACAGAATGCCCACATTGTTCTACATGGCGGCTGGAGGCAGGAGTTGGGCAGCCTCTTCCAATGGAAGAGCCACCTAAGTTGGGGGAAGGCGCCCGAGGCCAGAGGAAGACTTCTAACTTTGCCCGCTGGAATGGTAAGATACACACCATTTTTATGCTTGTTTCCTATGTGCTGACAAGGAGACTAGAGCGTGAGATCTGAGGGAGAAAACTGGCTGTGGAAGGAGACTCCAAAGAGCAGCGTCCAAGAGAACTGCACAGAATTCTCAGTTCTTAATAAATATTTTAAATTTTAACATCAAGATACACTTTTAAGATACATGACAGAGTGAGCTCCCGTCTCTAGTTCCAGCTCCTGCCAACCTAGCAGTTCCAAAGCAAGAAACTGCAAGTAGATAAATCGGTACCACTTCGGTGGGAAGGGAACAGTGTTCCGTGCGCCTTGGTGTTCAGTCATGCCGACCACATGACCACGGAAACGTCTTCGGACAGCGCTGGCTCTTCAGCTTGGAAACAGAGATGAGCGCCGCAACCCTAGAGTCGGAATCGACTGGCTTTCGAGCAAGGGAACCTTTACCTTTACCTTTTTTACACTTTTAATGACATTTCATTTCTGTCCTCCATTAGCAAGCCAACATTTCAGAAGTCGATGACAGTCTTATAGAAACAGTGAGAACTCATTGACACATTATGCTTGTAAAGGAATTTAGAGCTGTACTATACAAGAGACAATTCAGTATACTTCTTTGCACCTCCTGTTTCTTGGGTTCCTGTAATGTATAAACAAAGAGCCACAGTAGTTATAATAGACACCTTTAGGGTTTATTATTACAACAAAACAGGGAGGAAATGCTTACAAAAAATACCGAGGGGGGGTGCTTCTCTCCAAGTCTCAAAATCTTCACCAGGCTGCAGTAGGATTGGCTTTATATTCTCTGTAATCATCCATGCAGAAAAATGCTAACTCTGTTTCATGTGCTGAAAGGGAAAACATCGTATTTGGTGAGAACATGAATTCTCAAACCACAGAACACCAGATTAATATTAATTAAGACGACAGATGATGCGGTTTAAAGCTAGTTAGCAGCATCTCTGCTTTTACATTAGAGCTAAGTAGCAAAAATTAATACAGTTGCACACATTCAAAATGTAGATACATACTAGAACTTATGTGGGAGAAGAGGGAAGAAGAGCCCTCTTGGTTAAAACGGCTTTTAAAGCCAAACAAAACGATTCACATGGCATTTTACAAGCTCAATATAAAACTTTTTTTTAAAAAAGAACACTTCTCTCTTCAGAATTCAAGAAAACAAGGAAGACTTGGTTTTTAAAGTTCTTTATCTGTTCAGGGAGGGGAGGAGCGTCCCCCCTGAAATTAACCTGTAGCCATAATAATTTAACACTTAGAGGATCAGTAGAATATTTTACAGATCACTTTATATTCTCCCTCATGACCCATCAAAAAAACGTGCATCTGAAGAAGCTAATTTTTTTGCCCTGCCAATGATTAATTCATGAGGCTTCAACAATATGCAAAGTGAAAGACACAAATTGGCTTCTCCAGCAATACCTTCAAATGCCTCTAATTATTCACAGGGGATATGGCAGAGCTAAAGGACCCACAAAGGTTCAGAGCAGTCACAATTCTTTCCACCCAGCAGGTCAAGGACTTCCTCTTCTAAAACAATAAGTCAGCAACATTACTAATTCAGAGTGGAGACACGGCTGACGGAGAGCCATCACAATTAGATGACATGAAACTCTTTTGAAGTGGTGAGCCACCAAGTTCCACACTTGCTTTTTAAAAATTAAACCTGAAGTTAATGAAATCTGCCTATATTATACAGAAAGGGGAAGGGGGGGAGAGACTGAATCTTGACTAGGAGACCAATAAAATCTACTAGCAATGAAAGCTGAATACCAAAACTTGTAAACAGTGTATTGGGAGGGCAGAAGGAAACACACTTGCTTATCAGATGATGGCTGCAGAAAAATAATTACTACCACAATTATATTCAACTAGGAATAAAGCCCATTGAGGAAATAAATACAACGAGATCTAGAAAGAGGCTCTAGGTGGGTGCCCTGGCCTTGGGTACTCAGCATGAATTTGCTTTGGCGACCTCAGCAGGGTATAATGACACAGAGTCCACCATTTTCTCCAGGGGAACTGATCCTTGCCATCTGAAGAGCAGTTGTAATTCTGAGTGATCTCCAGCCCTCACCTGAAGATTGGCAACAATGGTTCCCCAGGAGGAAATGGCTGGCTTGAAG